TTCATTTTAGAAAAGCATCGACATACTTCCTCAACCGCTGCTTTTAATCACGCTTGTTTTCTGTATGCCTCAGTTTTGGCGGTGGTCTTTTAATCTCGGTCTACACCCGACTGCTTCCTCCACTTCAAGGCAGCAGGCAAATAAATTAGACTTGACAACAGCTTTAGCATACACACTCACATATACTGTACACATACAAACACATGTGCTCAACACACACTGTTGGGCAGGTATAACAGAACCCAGACTCTGGAAGTAGGCACTAATTCAAGCCAGCGTACCTCAGCATCAGCAATACAGTCCGGCCCTCTGGCACCGCTGAATCATAAAGGCTAACTCTCAATACACCGGGATGGCTTAGAGCTTCACACACAACATGCCTTTCCTCGTAGCATCTGAGCAATCGTTGGCAAAATTAATTGAGACTGATCAGCTTTCTGACTACAATGATGATAAAGAGGGAGTTATTAAAGTCTGAATCATTCGACTGAGGTCCAGTGAGCAATTATAAACCGTATCTGTAGTGGATTTTCGGTTCACACCACCTGATGAACATATGTGACTATGCCACTGAGTGTGGTCCTTGTTTCTCTTGGATATACCCGCTGGTCTCTCAAGTGCAAAAAGGTGCAAAGAAGAAAGGCCATGTGCTGTAAAGAGCACCTAGATCTGATGGTGCCTCCCGTGCGTGGCCACCCAAGAGTACAGGATGTGAACTAATGCGTTACAGTCAGAAACCATACTCCCCTAAGATAAAAAAAATAGGCTCAGGGATGAGTCTGGAAGGCACCCAAAGGTCTGTCAGTAGTCAATGCTAACTGACAGGAAAGTCCAACAGTAAGAGCAACAGGAAGAGGAAACTCTCCCCCACAACATCCTGGATGGCCTGCCTATGTGTGACTGGATATTTTCAGACACTGCGCAGGATTTCAGTCTGTATTTGCACTTCACAGCTGGTATTGACATGGCAGAGTTTTAGTGTCTCATTAGTGACTTAAAAACATCTGTGTTCCAGTGTGTGTGTGTGTGTACACTATTATGCAACGGCGGGGAAAGTAATGTCGATCAACTGACAGAGATATTTACAGTTTGTCTTGAATATTTGTATCATGGTTGTCTGTCTGCTGGTTTTCTTGTTTGTTATTGCCGTCTCACCACATCAGTTCTCATCTATTCACGCCACTTGAGACAATTCAGAAGAGGCTGGGGTGGTTTTTCTCACCAAGCCGTCTCTCTTTCCACCTTGTTTGCGAAGCCCCATTGAAGTCTTCCTTCCCTTTTAAGTCCCATAGTCATCTAATGGTCAGAGAGTGTGTATCCAGACATCCTGAGTCACTTATGATGCGGGTTCCTTTCTGTGGGAAAGGTTGACCATGTGTGCTGTGCTCGATCGTTCATTGCTCATAAACAGTAGGAGCACAGCCTGCGATGTTAAATAAACTAGCCGCCACAACATGTCGTCGCTCCCGTTAACTAGCGTGAAAACAACAACCACACAGTCAGATGAAAAGGCTGGAGCGGGGTCACACAACTGCTCCGCTCATGTGCCACTGTCGCTTTGATAGATAATCCCGGGGCTCTTTCTTGTTTTATAAGCTCAACTGCTAGACGGCTGCTGTCTCGCGCACTTGTACAGCTGTAGGATGTGGGTCCGATGCAGAGGCTGCCACAAAGCTGGTGTTGCCTCCAGGTGGAATATGCAAACAGATACTGCTTTGTATGACAATAAGTGAGCTGTTGGTGTCCTTCACAGGCTGGACTGAGCACTAAAAAAAAGTATCATTGAGGAAAATAAAGTGATCACTCTTGATGGGTTCAGTAGGACATTTGATGTCACAGAAGCGATGAAGAGAAGCGTCATGGGTGGTCACTGTCTATAAATATCAGACTCGGGAGGTTCCTCCGCTCTCTGTCCTCGTGCCCACGTACAGCAACCTTTTCACCTCGAACATTTACAACCTCTTGATTCAGTGTGTCTATTTCACATCCTCCACCGTCTGCTCTGCTCTATCTATCTGCATTCCTCCCTGCGAGTTTCTGTCTTTCTCTCCGAGGCGCACAGACATGGGTCTATTTGCTTGAATTTCTCATTTCCTGTTTGGGGTGTGTATCCTATCCCTTGTTCTCGTGCCCAGCACACATCAAACACTCATGCAGCTCGAAATGAGAAAAAGAGACAGAGAGGACGATACACGGAAAGCATATAAATGAGGGAATGATGTCAAAATTAGATGTGAATGGGAAAGGGTTTGTGTTTGAAGAGAATCGGGATGAACATATGAGGACAGTGGAAAGGAAAATCCAGGGTGATGACAGAGACATAGGAGAAACCAAAGGAAAATTAAAAAGGAGTAGGAAATACAAAGTGGTCAATTATCATAATATCCACTGATGTAACGGCAGACTCTTGCCAAAAGCTGAGTTCATACTGCAAGATCGCTCTCCTTTCTTATCTAATTTTTAAGGAATCTGGGCTGCTTTCACTTCCCATTGCAATTTGTTTTTATTTATTCTAATTATCTGTTTAGTCATTTTCTAAATTTACTTTTACAAGGCTGTGGTGCCAGTCGATCAGGAGGGGGCCAGTGGGTACGAGCCATTAAAAACAACCTCCCATAGTCTGCTTCACATTTCCACCGTAAAGAACTGACTCCATTCAGGCTGTGTGTGGGCTTACACTCAGGTATGGAGTTGGTGGTTTCGCTGGCCAACGTAGCTATCCTTACTGTATGAGTTCATGAGTCAAAACTGCCTGTTTGATTGGAAAAAATGTTCTCATAGTCTGTTCTACCAGCAAATATGATATAAAACCAAACACTGCTTTTAAAAAGAAAAGTTATAGCGCAGAAATAAAAGGAGATGGAATGATGAGGGATGGCAGGGTCTACTGGATGAATTTGAAACAACCAATTAAAAAGATGTTTCCATTTACTCTGTTTTCAATTGCCCTTTTTATGACCAAGTTTTTCTTTGTGGAAAGAATTAACAATTTCTTCCTAATTTCACAGCAAAAGGAATGATAGAAATTTGAACAGAAACAACTAAACCACCTCTGTAAAAGTCTTTGATTTGTGAAATATTAAAGCAATTTTGTCATAATCAAGCACAGAAAACACCTGAACTAGCTACTACTTAGGGTTGTAATTAAAATGCAAAAGTATAAATATTTTTGTTCATGTGGATTCATATCGTTCAAATCATATCTGCTCACCGGGACTTTAACTGTGAGCTGAAGATAACAACTTTATTTTATACTTAAAACAGCCCCGCAAGAAATGTAAGCAAACGCTCAACAAAATATAAACACAAATGCTTTCTATACCCTCCTCCAGTCCCCACCCTAACCACCCTGCTACAAGTCCAAGAAACACAGTAGAAAAAAAAAAAAAAACACAGAGGAGGTTTTAATGTGGAAAGGTAAAGCAGCAGTAGAATATTTAGGCAGGTATGCATCACGGTTCTTTTTCCAATTACACTAAGTTTCCAACTTCTCCTTCTCCTGCACCACAAATAACTTTTGGTGAACATGCAGTGTGTCATTTCGGGATGTTGGTTTACACACCGGCTGATGGCTATTCTCATCACAGGGGGTTTCACTGGGACGTGGAGGCAAGACTTCGTAATTCTGTGGTATAATGTGAGCAATCAGTACAATTCGTGACAAAGAAACTATCAGAGATAAAATGCTGGCTCACAGTTAAACCAAATGTTTAAACCAGGCACACGCAAGAGGGACAGAAATAAAAAAAAATAGGAGGGAAGGTGGAACTTGAGAGGGTTTTTTTTCACAATTTATCTTTCATTTGGCTTTAAGTCCTTTGCCTGGCCAGCTAGAAAAACATATGGTTCAAATAAGTGCGACCCCCCACAGACTCCCTGAAGTCAAGCACTCATTAGTGAATTATTTGGACAGAGCAGAGGAGACTGTTGCTATTTCAGCTTCTACAAAATACTGGCAAACAGTCATGACGGTCGAGGGGGTGGAGTAACAGAGTTGAAGGGGGGTCCTCTAAACACTCACTACAAAATGGTCTTATATGCTACAGGATAATAAATAGTAAGAAGGTCTGGAACAGGCCTATGTAACAATATACACCACTCACTTTGAGATCTCATCATTCACTGGCTTGCGGCCCTGGAATGTCACTCACATTCCCCCTGACCTTCATCTGTCTCTTTCTCTAGTTGCTCGTATATCTCTGCGCTCCTCTATTTGTGTTTGTTTTAACTTTCTCAGGACCCCTCCAACGCCCATGCTCATGCATCGTACACCCGAGAGGACAGCAATTTCCCTCCTCCCTCCTCCCAGCAAGCCAGATTTTCTCTACCTCTCTCCCTCCCACATGTCTCTCCCACTCACTGTCTGCGTTTACTCTCATGTGGGGCTGAGGCTGTAACGTCAGCTCGCTCGCAGTCAATCTTGTCGTGGTTTTTTTTATTTTTTTTTCCATCCCTCAAGCGCTACTAGTAAAACCATCACAGAACTAGACGTGTTATGGCTCAGGAAAAGAGGCGAGTCATAGCTAATCTTGCTAAGAGAAAGTGAACTCACACTCTGAGGTTAGTAAGTGTACGACAGGGGTCACGGTGAGTCATCCAAGTGTTTGGCCTCTTACTCTTCACTGCGGGATGTTGCATGTGAGTCAGGGCAGCAGACTGGACTGGGCTGTATCCTCTGTGTCACATGCTTCTCTTAAATGTCTCTTTTTTTCTGTTGAACTTATAACCCTAACCAACCAAAACCCAAATACCCAAAACCACAAACCTATATCTGAAAGAGTTGACATTCTGGTGCCCAAGACAAATGTCCCTCTCCTAATGTCACTGACCCACAGCACTGGATCTCACTCCAGGCATTATAGAGTTCCTGGGAATGGAAAAGTGCTTCAGCCTGGATGTGTTTCTGCTTAAGGTTGCGTGATGTTTTTACAAATAAGCTACATGGGGCTGGGGCGGGTCAGATGCCATGTGTGAGTGAGTAAAGTTGTGGACATGTGCACCTGTGCCGTGTCCCCTCAGCGCTGCATTTTGTGGTCGCTGGAGAACAACCGTGACGCAGAAAAAACTTCCACTCCAACATCCTCAAGCCCGAGGGCACCTGGAAGACAAATAAAACGACTTGTGACCGAAGCTGTACTTTTCTGTGACACGAGCCAACGTTTCATATAAATGGGACTTTTTGCTGCGCAGCGAGGTGCATATTTGTCGACAGGTTGCGTATTTAAAGCAACAATTCCAGACAGTTGGCCGCCATGTGAGTCATTTAGCTAATCTTTACCTAATGATTTGGTAATGACACATGACTCATTATCTTATTTTTTTTCTGGTTAACCTCATATGAAAATAGCCCGCTCTATCAGCAGTCTAATGGGTACCTTCAAACCCAACCCAACTGGTTGTGCTGCTCAGTTTTATAGGTATGTCATGGGGGTGTGTGTGTGTGTTTCTTTTTGTATGTGCTGACCCCTGCTGGATAATACACTAAAAGAACTCAAATGGAAATATCACTCCTACTTTATACTGAAATGACATTGTTCTATCTCATCTACACACACATTTTACTTATATCTAAAAATAATGGGACACCAAAGAAAAGCATTTGGCTCTTAGATTGGCAAACACAAAACACAGACACATTCATTATGGAGGAACCTTGGTAAAAACATGTAGCTTCCACCTTGACATATAAACCTCACCACAAGTTGCATGTTGTTATTCCACCACAGTTGCATTTGACTAACTCAACCAAGAAGCAAATTATGCGGTTTCGTGTCGTTGTCGTGAGGGTTTGGTTTGTTATTCCTGCAGTGTATGTGTGCTTTCAAACAATAAAGCATTTTAACATCACCTACCAGTCCAATAATTGCCCCTGATATCAATTTTCGTCATGCTCCTCCGGTGAAAGGCTCTTTGTGCTTTCGAGCTAACTTCACTAATGACAAATGACAGTTCCAGCAAAATCAGACTTTGCGACCTTTGCGACCATCCAGTCAATGGCGCACGTATCGGAAAACGGCAGTGAGAAGAAGATGGCGGAAGGAGGTAATGATGCGGAGCTACTCAAGGAGAAGGCGAATAAGTACTTCAAAGGTAATTTGGACGACCTGTCAAGTCAATGACTTTTTTCAGCAGTTCATAACAGACAACGGTGTGACCGCTAATTACCGTGGCGGCGTGATTGCATTGCCGTTTACTTCAACCGGAGCCGGTCGCAAACATTAGGCTAAGCTAACACTGCTTAGAGAGCATGCTAACTGTAAAGCCCATTCATTGAACTGTGCAGCGCTCAACTGAAACGGTCGCTAGCTGCTAGCTAGCTAGCTGCACTCTCAGCAGCATCGATGGTAAACCCATGCCGTCACTCGTGTCATGTACACGGCCAGCTTGTTTAGATTTGGCACTTTATGTGGGATTAACTGTGTGGCCCTGCGCTGTGTTAAATAGTAACTCAGTTGTTTGTATTTTGTCTTGACAAAGGGATACCGTGTAGTTTTAAGGGAGGATGAGTTACAACTCCTAGAATATTCTGTTAGCCGGCGGGTGTGAGTGAGCAGCAGCAGCAGCAGCTAGTCAGAGCCGCCGGAACTTATATCAGCAGTTCTCTGCTTGTGGCTCTCTGTGATTTGGTCGCCAGTTCTACCTGATGCAAAATACCGGAGAGTTGTTTTTTTACACTAATGTAAAGTTATAAGGCGAACCCTTTCGGATCTCCTTGTAGTTTAGGGATTTATAGAGGCCCGGTGTTCCGGAGTTCAACTGGTGTTTTAACCGCCGGTGACAATACGCGTGCGTCAGGCCGCAGTTCTAGAGGTGACTGTGCAGATGCCTGTTCAAAACAACATAAACACGAATAAATCATTTACAGAATGTCGGTGTGGTCAGTGTTAACGCCTGTCTCTTACAGTTAAATGTAAGAACAACCTCAGTGTCAACCACGTGGTTTCCATAAGAGACATGAGACTGGTAATTTACCCACATGTTTAATAATAATGTTAAAACCTTCAGTATACTTCTTGTGTAATATTACCTGAATAATTTATGCATTATGGTCCCCTACAAGATGATATAAAATTCACATTTTTCTGACGGGTCTAAATGGTAAGAATGCAAACAACAAAAGAGTAAATAATATACCATTTTATAGTCAAACAAATGACCTGACTAATTTTTAAAAATTAATTTAAGACTGCACTAAATTATACATGGAAAACCCCATGGATCCAGTGATTCCCTATGAGCACGCACACTAGACACAGTGGAAAGAAAACTACTTCCTTTTAACAGAAAGAGACCTCCAGCACAGCGATAAGCTGGGTAATTAGCATCATTTAATCTTTTATCACTCCTTAAGACCAGAGCGAGTGTTTTGATTATATTGTTGCACGGAGCTATTTGAATTTGACAGATTTCTGGTAGTAGCGCATGTATAACCTCCCAGTGTAGTTACAATAAGCCCTAAGCATCACATTGTGCGTCGGTAATACCACAATTTCCCCCAGCTTGAATCATTCAAGTTTTACTTTTGCAGTCACAACAAGATTTATGATTCAGATAACGATTGTTTTTGAGACCAAAATTAATATACCAGCAGACTGTTCTATGTGAAAAAAGATGGAAGGAAGTTCTTAAAATATAGAGACATGTATTTCATACTCCTACACAGTCTGTCTCTTACATCTGATAAACACTAGTTAATCGGAAACTACATCATTAGCAGAGATGACGCTGCGATGAGTCATGCTAGGTGCAAGGGAAAGGCTGTCTGTTGTAGGATGGGCAGGATTGTGTTTTGTCTGAGGTACCCTGCACAAAATAGGGTTTGATGTTTATTCCAAACAGTTGCAGTGCAATTTCCTGTCTCAAAATGTTTTTCTTCCTTCCTGTAGAGATTATCCTTTTAAACTAACAGGTAGTGTTGCTCGGGCAACATCACATAAATTGCAAAATTGGACTTAAGTTTGTTGTCTTCTTGTCAAGGCCATGATGTGGTAATAAACAGTGTTTAATATTATAACTCAGTCATCAGATATTTTATTAAAATTCAATCAAGTACACCCATGTGCTGAAGCAAGCATTTTAAATTCATGTAAAACTCTGACATTTGTGCGATCTATCTTAGCTGTTTTCATGAAAGGTCTCAAATTTAGTGTTGTACTTTATACAATGTAAAACACTATATATATCTAAGTAATGTAGGCTTCTAAGCATTTGCGCTCTCAGACTTGTTGCGTATGTAATGCTACACAGTTGAGTGACTAGTGGCTGTCTCCTTACAGAATGCTCACTAATGGGATTAAAGGATGTCTCATAACTTCCATTTTCCAGAGTAAAGTGGGCAGAGTTGTCCTTGCACAGAAGTTGTGTGTGTCTGTGTGTGTCACCTGGATCTGAAATATTGTGTATCGTGAATATATATGGTAACATGAGCCTATATTTCTATCTTGGATGTTGATTATTGTGGTAAAGCGGAAATGTTGTTCATGGATTTACTGATACAGCTTTCTTCCTGTGATAGCTGATTGAAATCTATCATCTGTATCACTAATATCTCTTCATAGACACTATATAACCTTACTATACTGTCCTTACATAGTAAATAAAACCACTCATCATCATATGCACAATATTATTATTTTGATTTCTTATTATGTACGTGACAAAACATAGAATACTGAACTGAACCTACCATACTAATCAGTTGAATAATGGTCTCAAAACTCATTCTAATTTTAAGCCTTATTGTTGAGCTAAAGTATATAATCACAAGCAGTGTTTGACCAGTGAGGATGGAACATTTGTTTTTCAGAGAAAGACTACGAAAATGCTATCAAGTACTACTCAGAGGCCGTGGAGCTCAATCCATCCAATGCCATCTACTACAGCAACCGAAGCCTGGCATACCTACGCACAGAGTGCTATGGGTATGCCCTGGCGGATGCGACGAAGGCCCTGGAGATAGACAAAAACTACATAAAGGGATATTACCGCCGTGCCACCTCCAACATGGCACTGGGCAAGTTTAAAGCTGCACTTAAGGACTATGAGACGGTAAGAGATATGGCATCTTTGACCATCAGCAGCCATGTAGTGTGCACCTAGAACATACAGGATATTAGCAAAGTGTACAGTATAACTAATTGTTTTCCCTGATGTTCTCAAAAGATTTAACTCTCTCGTTCCATCTGTCGACATGTTATCGTCAGTTAGATTCTTAATGTTGCCTCAATACCCCGAAATAGGGATTAACCTTTAATCCAGTCAGGATGCCAGCGTGTGAAGGCACTCATACGACAGCTAATTCAGTGTCTATTGTTGCTTGAGCTGTTCTCTATTGTTACTGGGACTGTGGAAACAAGGACCTCTAAAGCTCAGCCTTAGTCAGCAACCAGACCATTTGCCAAACAAAAAGAGGGTTATTAGTGTTAAAGGTTGGAGCCATCTGTTTATAGATCTCTTGAATGTGTATGGAAGAACTTTGTGTGATTGAATAGTTTTCATGTTTTCCGTCCACAGAACCACACAGAGATAATGGTTCTCTAAAACTGTTTACATACCATAATTAAGAAATTGGATCCTTAATGTGCTTTTATAACCATCTACATCCTCCTCTTTGCAGCTACGCTGAGTCGCTGCCTTTCTGTCTGGCTCGATGCTAGATGATAATTAACCAGTGTGTTCTTTTCCATGTCATTTTCCTGCTCTGATGATAGGTAGTGAGGGTCCGACCAAATGACAAGGATGCAAGGATGAAGTATCAGGAATGTAACAAGATTGTGAAGCAGAAGGCTTTCGAGAGAGCCATTGCCAGTGATGAGATCAAAAAATCTGTTGTTGACTCACTGGACATCGAAAACATGAGTAAGTTTCCTCTATGATTATTTGTCAATCAATATATATATATATATATTATAATGTGCTTTAATCAGATTTGCAGAGATTGTTTGGAACACTATGTCGCTTGGAAAGCAGCTAAAGATAACAAAGTGCTCTGGTGTGAACCATCTGATTCTTCACTGAAATTAGGATGATCTTGTATTTCAGCGATCGAGGATGACTACGTAGGCCCCAAACTTGAAGACGGGAAGGTCACATTGAAGTTCATGAAAGAGATGATGGAGTGGTTCCAGGACCAGAAGAAACTGCACAGAAAGTGTGCTTATCAGGTGTGTACTCTATCAAACACACAACACTCACTGAAGTCAACTTTCTGTACCTGTAATTAAACTTTATTCTACTCTTTCAGATTTTGGTGCAAGTTAAAGATGTTCTATCAAAACTACCAAGTCTTGTTGAAATCACATTAAAAGAGGTAAGGACCTATCAGATAATCACTAGTAAAGTAATGTAAAACTTACATTAGTTCACTAACAATAAGTGCAACAATAGAACAGGATCATATTCTTTGATTACCAGCTTTATGATCTGCCTATTACAGGGGGAGTTGAGCTCTATTTAAAATGTTCTTTCTTTTTGCCACAGACAGAAAAAATAACTATTTGTGGTGACACCCATGGGCAATACTACGATCTCCTCAACATCTTCAAGCTGAACGGCTTACCCTCAGAGACCAACCCTTATGTATCCTTTGATTTGCGGAACAGCCACGCGTCATATTGTACATTTGTCTTGAGTGAAGTCCCAGTTTGTACTATTTTGTGTTTGAAACGACAACAGCCAAATGCCTCAAATCCCAAACTTGTGCGTCATAGTGCTTAACCGCAGAATTTAGCTGTTCAATGGCGACTTTGTGGATCGTGGCTCTTTCTCCGTCGAGGTCATTCTTACCCTGTTTGGCTTCAAGCTGCTCTACCCTAACAACTTCCACGTGCTTAGAGGTAAGAGCACTCACGCTGTGTGTGTGTGGGCGCATGGGTCTGTGGATGCATGTGTCGTAGCTGCCAGACCATTCATACGTCATGCTAAGTAAATATCTGTTGTCATAAACTTTAAAGAGCAGCACAGAATGTCATTTATGGGTCACTGTCGTTTTCACATTTCATCTGGTTTCTACTGATAGACCACAGACATTGTTATTACAGTATTTAAACAGAAGTGTACGATAGACAATAAGCAGCTTTATACCTGCAGGTAACCATGAGACGGACAACATGAACCAGATGTATGGATTTGAAGGGGAGGTCAAAGCCAAGTACACAGCCCAGATGTTTCAGCTTTTCAGCGAGGTCTTCCAGTGGCTGCCTCTCGCACAGTGTATCAACAGCAAAGTGCTGGTAAGCTTTGGCAGCACAAAAGAAGTCACACAGAAGTGTAGTGAATTTTGAAACTATTTGGACTGTGTAAAATCCGTAAATTCCAGAGTATGGAGTATTGAATATAAGCCGCACCCACGAGCTTTAAAAATAAAACAAGGTTTGTACATGTATAGGCAGCACTTGTCTATAAGCCGTAAGTGTCCACGCTGTAACATGAGATATTTACAAAGAACGATGTTACACAAAAGATCATTTAAACTTTTAGTAAAATACGTACCGGTAACATACGCAAATACGTACCGTAGATGCTTTTTTCCAAACAGTGCCTGTAACACGGCTGGTTAAGAAAATAAAAACTACAGCAGCCTACCAGGAAAAGTCATTGATCACTATCTTCGTCTTCCTCCTGCGCACTAAAACCACTAAAGTCGTCTTCTTCAGTGTCGGAATTGAACAGCCTCAGAATTACTTCGTCACAATGTCACTTTCGTCTCGAGCCAAATTCATAAAAAGCGTAAAAATCCATAAATTAGCCGCATCATTGTTTAAGCTGCAGTGTTCAAAGCGTGTGGAAAAAAATAGCGGCTTATAGTCCAGAATTTACGGTATATATTTTTTCTATTACTCCTCTGCACCATGTGCTAAACCACGTGCTTCATTTATCTGTCAGTAAAAGGCTAAGCTAGTCGTTTAGTCCTTAAATCCAAAAAGTTCCAAAATGTCTTTTTAAGTCTGAGCTGCAGTGCAGTTATGTCTTTATGTGCTCCGTCAACATAATGTTTCAAACTAAATATATTACAAGATTTTTGGCATTTGTGAATTGATTCATAATTAAATATTATTCTTATGTAAATCTGTGTTTTTTCCACTTACCTACTGGTTGATACCAAAACTCTGTCGCCACTTGCAATAGTGTAAAATCTTTAGTGTAATCTTTCCACCTGCGACGGGGTTTGGTGTTGTAAAGGTACTTTCTGCTGATAAGATATTGTGTACTGATGCCTGCCGCTGTTAAGGATTTTTTAAAACCCTTCTTTTCACAGTGGTTGGATGTTTTGTACTTTTGCACTCACAGATCTGATATGATTCTCCTTCTAAGGTAATGCACGGAGGGCTGTTCAGTGAAGATGGTGTCACATTGGAGGATCTCAGGAAGATTGACAGGAATAGACAGCCTCCTGACTCAGGTAGGGTCAGACTCCAAATCACCATCGGTGTACAACTCTTTCAGAAAACATTTTTAGAAAGGAGAATGGGCATATTTCAACACCCTCTGCTGCTCTTTGACAGGTCCCATGTGCGACCTTCTTTGGTCAGATCCACAGCCTCAGGTCAGTTCCCACTGTTTTATATATCAGTAAATCTGTTTCCGTCATGTCATCCACGAGTTTGAGTTTTCTTATTTTGGATTGCTAATTATTTTCTTCCTCTTCTGTCTTTCATGCAGACTGGCCGATCAATCAGCAAGCGGGGAGTGAGTTGCCAGTTTGGGCCAGACGTGACGGAGCGCTTCCTGGACCAGAACAAGCTGGACTACATCGTGCGTAGTCATGAGGTTAAAGCTGAGGGCTACGAGGTCACTCACTCAGGGAAGTGCATCACCGTGTTCTCAGCACCCAACTACTGGTACGTAATCACATTATCTAACTCAAATGCTGAGTCAGCGGTTACTAAGGCTGTACATTAAAACTTATTGATGTTCTGCATCTTCTGTCCTCTCCAGTGATCAGATGGGAAACAAAGGAGCATATATCCACCTCAGGGGATCAGACCTCAAGCCAGAATTTCACCAGTTCACTGCTGTGGTCAGTATCTTGTACTGTAGTGTGTAAGAAAAAAAAAAAGATCTATTCATGGTTTGTGGAAATACTGTTACTATTTTCAGTTGTTACGTTTTGTGTGCATTGTTTTTGATAACAATTTACTTTAGAGCTTCATTGTGCACATTCTAATTATATGTTTAGCTCTTAGTCCGTGGTTACAGTGAAATCTAATAGGCCTCAAGCTTTAGTTATACTCCTATGTTGAATTTCGAAGTAAGCTCCACTTAGTCTATGCAAGTGGCCTACGCTGTTGTCAGCATTTCTACTTCCTGTCTATGTCGCTCTGCAACTGCACCAACCAAAGGCTAGTTAGCAGGGGTTTCTATGCCACGGTGTTTGAGATGCTTTGTGTACTTGGACCAATGGCAAAAAAATATTGAACATTAACTTTTACCAAGACGATACAATCATTTCCCTTCTTCTTCTTTTTTTTTTTAAATCTTATTTTTCCTAAATAGTCATAAACTGAAACATCTGGTTATAGAGTCCCTTCAGATAAGCAGTTTATTAAAATGTTGCATCATAACCAACTGGAATAAATTCAAAAATAAGGGAAAACACTCAAATAAATACTGAAAACACAAGTTTGGCTTTAATTTGTGGACGTTAACTTCGCAGCAGGCTGGCAGTGATTTAATTTGGCAGCCAAGTTACCAGAACTATCAACAAACTTGCTGTGGCGGATCCTAACATTTGTCTTCCTCACGTTCTCCTTTTACAGCCTCATCCGAATGTCAAGCCCATGGCGTATGCCAACACGCTAATGCAGTTGGGGATGATGTAGAGGCCACGCTAATCTGTCTGTGACACTGATGACCTCCCATCGGACCTGAACCATCCCTGCCACCTCATTCCCTCCAGTGCTCGGACATGCTCTCGTTGATGCTTAGCCTAAGGGATCCCTCTCCCCAACAAACTTCCGCTAGTTGTACGCAGAAAATACGTGGTGTAGTTCAGATGGGAAGAGATCACTTAGACCAGCCCAGTCCAGAAGTGGATATGTTCTTTACGTTATTGGTTAAAACTGGAAAATCTCCATTTCCATTGTCCATTTGCCTGCTCATGTATTCCATCACTGGGTAAAGAAACCAACGCCGAGAATTTCAGACAAGTCTCTTTCAAGCTGCTTGGTTTTTAAATATTTGATATATTTAGCAGATGGCATCACATATCTGGTATGTACCAAAGATCTGTAATGAAATGATTGTTCAGTTTTTGCAAGGAGCATCTGACTCTGAAACCTAGCATTGTACCGTTGGCCTGCATACACAGTCTAGAGCTTTGTAAACTGGTTCAAGAGCAGCATGTCTATCAGTGTTTCTCAAAAAACCCTACAGTATAACAGTTTACTTTTATATTTTACAGGAATACAAAATCTGATTACATGTATGATCCCACTCCAAAAAAAAAAGAGATTATCTCTGGGTACACTCTTAAAGGTGCTGTTTGCCATTAGTGGTGTATTTAGCTGGTTCAGTCACGTAGCTGGTAACATTTATTTTGCACTGCTGCACTGCTTCCTGTTGGGGAAGATACGGCTGCTGTCCATGTTTTCATCCTTGATCGTCATTGTGCCACTCACCCGGCAGCTCCCGCACAGTCTACTCTCCACAGTAGCTTTGGTGTAAAGCAAACACTGATGGCACTCTAGTCCCCAATACATGTTCGATTACTGGTGACTTGTTACCCCGTGTGTGGATTTCTTCAGTACACAAACGTCCAAAATGCAATCCTGTCTTGAAACGCACAGCTGCATTGTCCAATGGCCCTCAACTTTTTAGATAAAGAAATACACTCATGTGTATGTATATATACTGTATCATTTAAAGATTCTGTGTAATGTTTGGAGAAAATTCTTGAATAAAAAAAGCCAGTCCAGTGATTTTAGAAATAACTTGGTATCTATTTATGTCAACGAAGTCTGCGCTTGTCTGTGTTAATTCTGTCTTCCAGGTCATGATAATGCTAAGTGCTTCAGCAGAAGGTGACTGGACCGTTTTTGGTTCTTATAGCCATTTCATCTCCCATCCAAGAGGCTTCTTCAGTTCTTACTGAGTGATGATGGGTCCCAGGTACATATCGTTACTTCCGAATTACATTACAAATGGTGTGAAACTAGCAGATGAGGGATGACTGTAGGTTTAATGGCAGAGTAACTTTCTGTGGTGGGATCTCAAGACTGCTAAAAGCATCTGCTAAGTGGTGTCGTAGACCCCCTCCTCTGTTCAGAGGTGGCTGTTCCAGTTTAACCCAGATAGGTACCTCAACACTCCTCACAAACCACCTGTCTGCTCTGTCCAGAATGGGAGCTTAGCAGTCCTGAAGTGCATTAGCATCAAACAGAAAAGAAAAGAGCAGGCAGAACAGGTTTGACTGAGAAGAATTTTCTCCAAACACAATGGCCGAGTGCATCTCAGGCACAACTGCACTCTAAGGTAAAAACTGGTTCACCCTGAGGATGCAATACCCAAATACAAGCTGAGCAGCTTTGCATATGGAGTCCAGTGCAGGGAGGAGTGCAAAGACCTACGTACAGGACACCAGACAGTCAGATTCCAAGGACAAGACAAGACAATCCTTTGAGGACGACAGTTTCCACATTTTGGACAGCAAAGAATGATGGTTTTGAGAGAGGAGTTAAATAAGCCATCTATGGTAAACTGAAACAGCTGTCTCTCACTCATAATTCTCTTTGGTACAAGATCAGCTCATTCTGTGAATTGTACATATTTTGTACTTTAAACATCCTGTGCAATATCTACTTTTCTGCATATACTAGAACATATGCTGTTTTTGTTAAATTTCTACTTGGGTACAATCTGCAATGTAGACAGTCTGTTCAGTATTAATATTTTATCAGTATTTCTATTCATCCAAAAAAAAAAAAAGTGCAATAGCACTGATATGTGCAATAATGTTTATTTTTATAAATTGTAGTTATGTATATTTTGGTTTACTTTGATTTTTTGTACTGCATTCCTTAAATGCTTGCACTGTCTTTGGTGCTGTAACAATGCAAATTTTGCAATGTGGGCTCAACAAAGGTTTGTCTTATGTTAGCGTAAACAGAGGAGGTGGTTTACCACACCAACACATATTCTATCACCATTAACATCCTTTATCAGAAAGTTTTATAAATCACAGTTACCAGTTATTTCACATCTTAACCAAGTCATTTTGGGTTGACATTATACACCTGGGACTCCCCGTCAGTCAGTCACAACTACTGAAACCTCCTGGATGAGCGTGACATGTTTTCAAAAGCAGTATGCACTTGTTTCGTATATTTACCATGTTGCAAGTGTTTGCAGCTCCTACCCAAGGAAAAAATTTTTATTCTTTCTTAAAAAGACATTACTATGGTTTCATAAAGTTCTGTTTTTGAAAAAAAAAAAAAAGAAAAAAAGACGAATCTGTTTCCTGTTCGCCTGACAGTCGCACTCGTTTGACGTCACGACTTTCTCCAGCTGATCATCCTTCGTCAGCGACGCGCCGCGCGTTGACAACACACAGCCAAGCACGAGTTTCACCTTGTTATGAACCCAGCTGGACACGAAGACGGCAGCAGCTACAACTTCGGCCTGAGATGCCCAAATATTGTTCGGTACCAAACTGCAAGAATGACTCCGGAAACGGCAACGACAGGAAAAGTTTTTACAAGTAAGCTGCTGGTTTTTAAACACTCTCGGATCGCTCGCTAGCTACATTTCGATGCTCAGATGTGTAATTGACGCGTCATCTAACTTCAGCCAACTTTTTCCTGTTCGATGAGTCAGTCTTTCACAACGTCAACTTTTACAACATGTTCGCTCCTTCAAATGAATCACTATCAGCCTGTTGATTGATGTCTCGTTTAGTTTGTTTTTTTCTTGTTTTGACCTTTATGAGTCTTCAATAAATCATAATTTGTGGCTGTGCGTCAGACTTTGTGGCGACTGAGTGGTTCTGACTATTAAACCCACCTTTCAAGACAGACTTTACGTTGTAATTTGAGGAAATATGAGGTTTTATTATGTGTGCTGTTGTGTATCGAGCAACAGGAAGACAGACTGTAGTGATGATGTCACCTTAATGTTGTAGTTAATCCACAGACAGAGCAGCTGCCATGATAGCACAGCACTCACAGAATTTCACTGGGAACAATTATCTTTAAAAACTACAATTGGAAGTCCTATAATAAAGTTTTTACAGTGACCAGATGAATAGGAACTTGGTGCAGTTTAGGGATGTTCAGGTGTTTGTAGGAGCTGCTCCTGTCGGGACTTTGATATATGTGGCGGTATAATCTAAAAAGTGTTTCTAAAGCCCCTTTAAGACATGTAGTCTTTTTCATTAATCTGAACTTGTGGAGAACATGTCTTAATGAGTACCCTGGGAACTACGTTGTAAAAGTTGCAACACCAATCTTACTCGGTTGGACTTATTCCCATTTTACTTTCAACACGGCACAAGTCTGAACTGAACCAGAACCATAACTAGGCGACTACCAGTTGTGTTAAGCAATCTGGGAAAGGCTTTCTCATATTTCAGCACCAGTGTTGGTTCAAAAACTGCATAGAGCGTGCAAAATACATGGTTTTCTGCCAAAAATCACAAAACTTAGCCTGTTACAAATTGAAATGTCTATAAACGTACAACTGTACTGCGACGAAGAAAGAGTCTAACAGATTAATAATACTCACCGGTATTAATAATTGTTTTCCAGGTTTGGACAGAATGTTAAAAGGCACTTGAGTTTAGTTTCCAGCTTTTTGTACGAGTCTTTCCTCTAAATGTATTAAATACCCGTAGCATCACACAGCAGCGAGATCCATTTCCAAAGAGAGAGAGTTGTGTGCATTTAGGCACATGGACCAAGAGCAGTAAATTAATTCATTACTTATATTTATAAATGATCAGCACATGGAGATTGGGTGGATTGGGACGTAAGACTAAGTCCCAATGTGCACTCTTCTCCACTTTGGACGACTAAACAGTCACGGTTCATAAATCACAGTTAAATCATTTGTTACTTGAGCTCCGTCACAGCAGGGTATTTTTATTTCACTTTTAGTAAACAGCAGTTAGACCTCATCACAGTGTTCAGTGTGTTTAGGAAATAATAAATAAACTAGACTCTTAGGCATTGCCGTCAGGATGTCTAAATTAAGCCGTGAGCAACATTAACATAAAGTGGCCTTTGTCTGAATGACAACATGCTGTCACTTTAACAAATTGCTTGTTTCATCCATGTTGTGTATCCTTATTTCAAAAGGGCTTAGCATTTTGTCTAACTCCTCCAAAAAAATATTAAAAACACTTTCAGTATAAAAGTAATTGCATACAACACCACCACTAACTGCAGCCTCAGCAATTGCCAGAGCTGGATAGCATTACTCTGTGTAGGGAGTCCACAGCATCAGAGTCCGTGACCTGATCGTATCATATGTGATGCTCTGATTTGTATATAGATGGTGAATTTACTGTGAAATTACTGGAACAATGTGAATATTTAGGCAGCAGTTTTACAGTAACATGTTTATTTTTTTTATACATTTGACCCTATTTCACTTGAAGGGCAGACGTATGACCAGGGTCTAACCTCTATTCCCTGTATTCCAGGTTCCCGCTGCAGGACCCGGTCCGGCTGCAGCAGTGGCTGAGGAACATGGGGCGTGAGAACTGGACTCCCTCCCGACACCAGTACATTTGCCACGAACATTTTGCACCGTCGTGCTTCAAGGTGAGATGGGGGATCCGTTACCTTGAGAGCGACGCTGTGCCTACACTCTTCCAAGAGGCCGAGGTAACATAAAAGAAACCTATTACTCTCTTATGATGGAACTTTAGGGATATGATAATGATAAAGAATTATTTTTGCCATTATTTTGCCAAATACTAGAATCTAAAAAAAAAGTACATTGTTTAAAATGCTTAAAAATGTTCAACATTTGTACTATTTGATGGATTTTTTTCTGCCATTGTAGTGTCATTTAAGAGACCTTTTGGAAGTTGAACATGGATGTCGAAGTATTTTAGTTTATTAATGTGAGCTTTCTTCATGAGGGTTCTCTTCACTGAATTGTTGTGGTATTGATGTATAGGATACAATAAATAATTCATCTTTTCTTTAAATAGTATTTTTTATTACTCGTAGCTTAAATAGAAATATCTGCACATGCATGAACTGATTATTTGCACTATACAAAGACTTACTTTGTTTTGGAGATTTCTGCTGAGATTTCCCATGTCAGCAGGAAATTATTATATTGCAGTTGCTCTCAGTTAAACTGTCAGTTTAAGCACATCATGTTTCATTTGATAAACACACCCTCAACTCTCAATTCTAGAAACGGAAAGCCACAGATCACAGCGAGAGGAAGCCAAAGCGTCTTCGAGCCAACAGTAATCAAACGGTGTCCGATGACGGGACCATGGCTGTAGAAATGCAGAGCACGCTGCACACCGTGCACCTGTATGAGATCGCTGTCAACCCACTGCAGCAGGGAGAAACCAGCTTGGTGGAGTCTAGCGATGTCGGAGAATCTGACTGTTCTCTCCAGACAGACCTGGATCCACTGGCATCAGCAGACGGATCGGAAACGGGCATAAACTTCCCTTTAACTTTGTTCCAGACAGTTGATGATCTAAGTAACAGTGGAGAGAATACTGAGGTGGTAGTGATGTCTGAATGCCCTGCAGGTGAAGGACCGGATGAGTTTGTGAATGGAATCACTGCTGCCATTTTAACTCAGGGCCACAGACTGGTCATCAACGACTCCACGCTTGGCTGCACTGATGAGGCTGATGCTTTGAATGGAGTTGAAGATGTGGCTTTCACCACAAAGGAGTTCTCAGATGTCAACGGAGGACATGAAACTCAAGTTATCGCCTACTTTGAGACGATACCAAATGTTTTCCCCAGTGAAACTTCTACTCAGTTCAACTTCTCGCCAGACACGGTGCTTTCATCTGCTCTGAGCTCCAAGCCCATCACATCCACTGTGCCTATAGTGTCCAAACACGTGGCGCCTTCGCCCGCATCCCTGGTCCTCACTGTGGAAAGGCTGGACACGGAGGGGGAAGACGGAGATGAGGGCAAGTCAGACGAGGAAGACATGGAACAGCAAGATCGCCAGCTGGAGGAACACTGGTGAGGACTGATGCTTGCTTTAGTAGTCCCTCTGTTCTTTCATTTCTTCTCTTACAGTTTTTCTTACAGTCTCTGTGCATTTTTGTCACATGAACAGCTACCACAAGAACAGTTTGAGTAAGGAGCAGCTGGAGGCAATTGTTGCCGAGCTGCAGAAAAAAGTGAAAGTGCTGCAGCAGCGACACCGACGACACCTGGAGAAACTTCTAGGACTGGAGAACACCGTCAGTCAGCTGAGACAGAGCAACCTGCTGAATGAAGAACGTCTACAGCTGCTGGAGAGGGTATTTATTTAAATTAATTTCAGTCTTCTAACACAGGTGGACAAAATAGTTGGTACCCCTCGGTTAATGAAAGAGAAACCCCCAGCGGTCACAGAAATAACTTGAATCTGACAAAAGTAATAATAGATAAAAATTCAGTGAAAATTAACTAACGAAAATCAGACATTGCTTTTGAACTGTGGTTTAACAGAATTTTTCTAAAAAAATAAACTCATGAAACAGGCCTGGACAAAAGTGATGGTACCCTTAACTTAATATTTTGTTGCACAGCCTTTTGAGTCGATCACTGCAATCGAACCATCACACCTGTGATGCTAATCAGAGGACACACTTTCATTGAACATGTCCCTGTGGTCACATTATGTTCAGTCTTTTCTAGGGGTACCATCATTTTTGTCCAGGCCTGTTTCATGAGTTTATTTTTTAAAATAATTCTGTTAAACCACGGTTCAAAAGCAATGTCTGATTTTCATTGCTTCGTTTTCATAGAATTTTTATTTATTATTACTTTTGTCAGATTCAAGTTATTTGGGGGGTTTTTTCTTTCATTAACAGAAGGGTACCAACAATTTTGTGTATCACTGGAAGTTCTTAAATTCTCCTTTAATCGTTCGTTTTTCTGTTACTTTTCCCACTTACTTGTTGCCCCCTTCCCCTTCCACAGGCTTATATTCAGACTAGCGCAGCAGTGTCAGACGCTGGGGAGACTGTGACCATAATCTACGAAGAGGACGATGCTGCGTACTTGTATACTCCACTGAACGATGCAGTGGCAAAGCTGTGAGGCCAGACTGACTGTGGACATGCCATCTGTGTGTCTGTCTGCTGCTCACTGTGCCAAATAATAAGTAATTGGGGCTAATGCTATTGGAAATAAAAATGCTACCTAATTTTGTTCTTTTTTTTTTTTTTTTTAGTTTTCTCTAATCATAACAAAATCTGTGTATAAAATGTGGCAGCGCGTCGGTCCATCTGCTCTGAGCTTTGCACAAAAATACATGGGTAATGTGGGACAATGTTGAATGTGTTTTTTAAGGTTTTCCTCTTTTCCTCCCCGCCCTCTCTTCTGTCTTTGTTTGACTTACTATTTTTGTTTGTGATATTGTACATATCATTAAAAAGAAATCGCTTCCATCTATGTTTTTGCTTCATTTCTGTAGTCGCCATGAATCAATACATCAAGAAAAAAACAACCCTCATAAGCAGGCTAAAACAAAAGAACAAGTCACCACAGCCCTAACACTTTGTCCAGCAACTGTAAATACTGTTTGCAGGTTTGCTTCATGGAAATTTAAACTGTAAGTAGCGCTAAGCGAGCTGCTACATGATGATTTGATCGAGCCACGGGGAGCGGTTCAGCTTGCTGCTCCTAAGCAGGTCTATTGTTTGTTAAAGGATTGCGTCAAGTAGTTCAGGGTTGAATGCCACCAACATGTTGGCACAATAGGCTTGTCTTTTGTCCTGTATTTGCCTTTCTTGGTGATTTAAATATGAAAGCAACCTTGTGAAGTCTTTTTCTTGTATTGGTTTTTAAATTATCCCAGACCTTAAACAGAACCGATCGCATAGCTTTGCTGAATTACACCTCTAACACGATATTCTACTTGTGTACATTTTTAATATTTGAGGACATTCTGGACTTTACTCAACTAAATGACCCGTGTTATTCAGTCGACCTGCTGCTTGACTTCACACAGTGGATGCTTTTCTCATCATGGAGTGTGCTTTCTTTCTCTCTCCAGTAGAGGGCAGTAGAGGCAGCTTCAAATTACATGTGGATTATTTTGAGAGAGAATATTGTACATTTTTAAACAGATGTATCAGCAAAAGGCATCCTTATTTGAACATTGTGCTGTTGCAAAGTCGTTCCTAGCGGGGAAAGAGTCTTGAATGTGTCTGAAAAAACGAGGAGGCTTAACACTTAAGACCTACTACACCCTGTCTTGCCTTACAATTCTGTTTACTGAGCAACCAGTCCTGTATTGCACGTGCACTGCATTTTGCAATTACAACAGGGATTTAATATACTTCAAGCAATTCAGGTTGGACTACTTTATGTTTTGAATGGATTGATCTTTTAGGAACGATCCTGGTCCTCGAGGGCCATAATCCTGCATGTTTTAGATGTTTCCCTTCTTCCAGAACACCTGATTCAAATGATCAGGATCGTTATCAAGCTTCTGCAGAGCTTGATGATGAGCTGATCATTTGAATCAGGTGTGCCGGAAGAGGGAAACATCTAAAACATGCAGGATTGTGGCCCACGAGGAGCAGGATTGGACACCCCTGGCATAGGGAGGGATTTCAGACATAGCCAGGAAGTAACCTAAGCTACGTTAGCACAACTTTAGCAACGTAAATGAAAAGCATGACAGACGCAACGAAGCACGCATCCAGGCCAGCTGACAGCCTTCCCTGGGCCCGGGACAAGATGATATTAGATGCCCCCCCGCTCCACTCACCCACATCTCACCTTTTCTTTGCTCTTCCTCTCCTCACCTCCTCTTCTTCTCCTCTATTCTGCTTTCTTTACATCTCTTTCATCCATCCTGCTCACTGTCCGACTGGGCAGCAAGACCCTCCCGCTGCACTTTGACGCTCGCTCTCAGTCTCATCCGTGGTCTGACTCTGTCCCCCCTGGTGGACCAGCGGGCCCCTTCCTCCTCCTCATCTCTGTTACCTGAAGGCAGGTGGATCTCTCGCCTCGGCCTCTCTGTCTCATCCTCTCTGACGGAGCCACTAAACTCGTCCGTTTCTGTCAAACAAACCGTGTTTTGTCAGGATTTTTATCGCAGCTAATGGCTATTAAGAGCTAGCCAAATGACGTCACAAGGCTAACAAACATTAGCTCCGCTGTTTCTTACCTCGCTCTACGCTGACTTTACTAGTTCCAGCTTCGTGTCACCACCTTTTTTTAAAAAAGTATTTTTAAAGCAAATCTCTAAGGCCTCTATTTTCTTCCTCTATTTTTCTCTTCTTTTTGCTTTTCTGAGCACCAGACTTCTGCTGAGCGGACATTTTGGTGCTGAAGTGCAAAATCCGAACTTCCAATAAAAGGTCAACAGACGTTGATCAGGGGCCAAACCATTTAATGTTGGAGGTGGGGGTGGAGGGCAACTCCAAAGATATTAAGGACAGTTCAGACGAAAACTAATTCAAACTTCGAACTCAAATATTGCCCTGTTTCTTTCCATTAATAGCCCTTCTTTGGGGAAAAAAATCCAGAATTCAATGAGGGTCCAGTTCTGGGGCCCCCCGCCACTCTGGGCCCGGGACAACAGACCCGTTTGTCCCCCCCCTATCAGCAGGTGTGCACGCATCAGTCCTCCTGATAAGTGGCAAAGAGGGTTAAAGTGAACCAGGAGACATGCTGAGTCATTGTTAATGTCACAACGTGGTTATGAACTTCTCTGTCAGTAGCTCTGCTCAGCCCACTCCTGTGATGCGACCTGGCTGTAGCTTCCTCCTGCACGACTGAGAAGACAGCGGTGAGGAATGAAGGACTGAACGGAGTCAGAGCTCCATCTAGTGGACAAATGGCGCAACGACAGCATTCTGCACCACTGTGACACTTAACAGCATTTACTGTTTTATGAGAAAATAACCAGACGATAAGCCAGAGCATCGCCAACTTTTAATCATCTGTTCATTGTGCCATTATCAACATTTCCTGGAAATTCCATGAAAATCCATTCTGACATTTTTGAGTTATATTGCCAACAAACAAACAAACAAACAAACAAACAAACAAACGCCGGCTAAAACATAACCTCCCTGGCTCCCTGAGGTAATTAAGTGTAAACTTTCAGCTTAGTTCAAGAGGTTAAACAAAAAGAATGCATCACACATGTAGAAATGACAGCCTCTAATGAGAAACACACTGCGTCCACCAGGTGGTGCTACAGACCAGGTGACGGTCTGAGGGACAGAAAGCAAAGGACGACTGGTGCCATAGGAGCTACAGATAGGTCCCAATCCATCCATCATCATCTATACACCCTAATCCTGACTGGGGTCACAGGGGGGCGAAGCCTATCCCAGATGACTCATGACCCAGGCTCACCTGGACAGGTAACCAGTCTATTACAGGCTAGACAGAGAGACAGACAAGCACACTCACATTCAGATAGGTCTTAATGACCACTGAAACTGCTGATAATGATATAAACTGTGGGATCATTGTAGTGATGATTGAGGATGAATGTGAGAGGAGGACTGAAGCCCAACTACAGGGCTGAACATATTTGGCATGCATTACTGTCACATTGATAGCATGAAATTTAGCGCACATAATCAATGACCTGCTGCCCAAAAAGGTACTTTGAGAGCACAGAACCAGTTAGTTGGTTAAATGTGTACAAATCTACTTATTTTGAAGTCTGACATTATTATATCAGTCATCTGCATGATTAAATGAAAGAAAGAAGAGAATAATGAACTTTGCAGAAATGATTAAAGCGTCTGAGCCGTGATCCTGAGGGTGAAGCCTCTCTAATCGAGGCCTCACAGCATCAGGGCGTCTTTCTGCACGCTGCATCCCAGCAGAGCATTTCCAGCTTCCACTGGGTGAACTGATGTCACCCAGGTTGTACTGAACGATGAACAGAGCAGGTGTGAAGTCCACAACACAATAAAGCCGCTGAAGCTCATTTTATTCAAGGCACCAGGTACAATCTAAGTTGAATATTCAGGTGTTACAGGCACAAAGTGACACAAGAAGCACAATTCATTTATCGTTAGTTAATGTTTCAGCACAAGTCTGAAAATTCAGACTTTTACATTAATAATCCAGAAAAGGTAAAAATCTGCAAGAACAGTTTAAAAAGCAGATTAATTATTTCAGTGCAGATGCAACAGCAGTGCAATATTAAAGAAGTGAAGGCGTCTGGGTGGAGAAGATTTGCGTCTGAGCCGTGATCCTGAGGGTGAAGCCTCTCTAATCAAGGCCTCAGAGCATCAGGGCGTCTTCCTGCAC